GCATCATTTTCAGCTGCAGCAAACAGGTGCATGTGAAATATGAAATATCTATTACTCATTTCCTTTAATTAATTCTCTGATTGTGATAATGTCATCCTGTCTTCTGTACCCATGTCATTCGAAATGACAAGCCAAACGTCATTTGTAAACAGTTGGGTAAATACCCTGTTTTTCTTGCTCCTGCTATTTTAGGAACAAAGTGTTGCAACATCCTAATAACATTTCTATTTATGGCAACTGGGTAGAATTGAAACTATTGTGTCATGTAAATGAATGACAGTTGGCAGCTGATCAGTGGAAAAGTACATCTAAAGAGTCAGTCCCTGCCCATCCTTTTAGGGGGGCTGTTGCGTAGGGAGCAGAGAATAGGTAGCTGGACTCTCTCCAGTCAGGCAGTCATTGTTGTATAGCAGGCTTTCATTGGTCCTGTCACCACAGCTACACAAGCTGAATAAGCTGGTCTGCATGTTCCAAGGCCCGGTGATGTTGGGATGGTAACTGGGGTTTGTTTTGAACGGTGTAACCGCGGAGACAACCATTGCTAAGCTCTACTGAGAGATCTCTTCATTGCCCCTTGGGGTCTGTGGACTGAATGGATGATCTGAGCACACAGCTAGTGTTACAAGGTTACACACAGCATTGGTGGATGTGTTATACTGTTTCTTGTTGCCTAATACAAAGTGGAAGACGGGCTGTGTTTTCAACAAGCAACAGATTTACTGATTCTGGCACTGACTGGTATAATGAGGTGTATGGTTCCCAAGTGCCCTTCTAGTGCTTCTAGTAAATGCTTCATCTATTATAATTATTATCAATGAAACTAGCATAATTACATTACTAAAATATTTGTTTTCATTACTCAAGTCACTGAAAACTCAACTCACAAACCTGCTTACATTTGTGAAACCGCAAATGCAAAATGTGTGGTTTTTTCATGGTGCTGTGATTTATTTAATAATCAATTGTCAGATAGTGTTTTTTATGTGCTTCAAGTGCTGTTTGTATTTGTGGTGCCTGTCCATGTGCATCACAGACAAATATGTTTTTTTATGTTTTGTAAGGTTTTATTTTAGATGTTTCATCATTTTGTGCTGCTAAAATCTGAACTTTCCTGCAGAAAATAATATAACTTCCTGTTCTGCGTGAGTCACAGCAGAGCCTGCTGGTATATTATGTACTTAGTCAGTGTTGAAATGCGAATGACAACATTTAGACTTGTTCTTTCACAGCTCTGCACTGCTGTAACATTGCACGGACAATAATGGTTCCTGCACAAACATATGTACATTACATAAACACACACGGTAATACAAACAGATCCTTAGCTTCTTTTTCTTTCAACTCAGGTGATTCATGAGCCGTGGAATGGCGTGACAGGAATGCGCTGATCCCTCGGCACTCTGCTGCCTGTCTCTCCAGCTCCACTGAGTAAATAACTGCGGGGAGGGAGGGAAAACGGACTGCTGAATGAATAAAAGGACAAAAGGATGAATGAATTGCGGAATGAATGAATGAATGACACAAGTCCAATAATGTCACTATCTAGCTGTAGCCAGGCGCGTTCGTTGCAAGGCATGGTGCGGGCAGACAACAAAAGGATGACCACAACAGTTAGAGTAAAGGCAAAAACACACACGTTCAGATTGTTGTTAAGTTGGGGTGTGTTGGCCAATAAATGGCCTGTAGGTTTTGGGGTTTACTCTGGGGTTAGCGCAGGGATGGGGATTTGGCACACTATTTCAAAACGACGGTATAAACACAGATAGAGATTAAAATAAAGATTCTGTGAAGTCTGGTTTCTCTTAAAGGTCACCTATCATGCTATTTTTTATAATAGCATAGGTCTCAGATATATACAAAAATATAAAAAACATGTCTATGAAGTGTTTTGCTCAAAATACCAAATAGATCACTCATTCTAGCCATGCCTCATATCCCTCTATCAGCGTTTCCGCCAGGGGGGGCGTCTTGCCGTCATTTCGAGCCGAGGGCGTCAAAAAATAAAAATAATTCGAGAGAAGATCGAGAGTTTTTATCGCTTGAAATTACGAAAAGGAATAAGGACAAGGACATCCCTCTGTTGGAGGGGCAAAGGAGTCTGGTGGGATTTTTGCGCGTGAACTGCGAGCGCCGGAGCCTCGCAGCGGCGAAACTGAGGCTCCGTGGTAAACTGTGGTAAAATTAAGAGCCTTTTAGGAGCCGAAAGAGCCGGCTCTTCTAATGGCGCTTTTCCACTGCAGGGCCTCGCTCAGCTTAGTACGGTATGGCTAGGCCTCGTTAGGCCTTGGTAGGCCAGGCTCACTTTATGCTGCGTTTCCATTACAGTTTAGTAGCTGGGGTAGTATCTATATTAACGCAGTGTAGACGGAGCCGTGACGTCATCTTCAATGCGAAACACAAAACCAACATCAGCTGTTAGCCCTCAGAGCTCACAGCTCCTCATATCTGTTCAGAAACTAGACAAAAGTTAAACAAGTACAAACCACAGACTGCCTGTGTCATGGCGAATACAGTCGCTGGTTTATTTATGTCTGTATAGGCCGTTGTTGTGAGTGTGGACGGTCGGAGCATATACTGCGTTAGCTTAGCCAATCTTCATTCAGAAAACACGCATTTTAAAAGGTTTTTCGCCGTCTGTCTGCAGACTTGTCACAGCATTAATTCATGGTTTTTACTAACCGGTATCAGTATGTTGTTACTTCGGCATCATTTTGAAACGTGTATTACAATTAAATCACGGTCAAATATGTTCATTTTGTTGTAGTTGCCAGCGATTCTCTCACCCGGTTGTTGGCCCGGAAAGAACCTCGATTTTGGAGAGCCAAAAAAACTGTGAAAAAGTACCCGCTAGCCGGAACTACGCCTAGTGGAAACGCAACCAAAAACGCTTAAACCGCGCTCCGCGCTGTAGTGGAAAAGTGCCATTAGTGAGCCGAGTCAAATGATCTGGCTCACTAAAAAGAGCCGGAATTTCTGATACGTAAAGAGATAGTATCTATAAGGGACGGCTCAATTCAAAATTCAAGTCACGTCACATCACCCCCGCCCCCCCCCCCCCCCCCCACACTTTATGTCTTAATGCCTAAACTAGTGCTGAGAAATGTCATCCTAATCGCAATATGGCCTTCCGCAATAGGCTATTTGTCAATATTTATGAAAGATTATTTTCGATAAAAAAAATGACATTTTCTGAAAGATTAACATACTTTTGTAAAATAAATGTACTTTTGAAAATCACCCCATACTAAAATAATTACTTAAACTTTTTAAATGATCTAAAGAAAATGTTTTAAATGGAATATTGTGCAGTGAATCTATTACTATACAGTATTGTTGTTATTTAAATTATTATTATTATTATTACATGTCATTTGTCAGATGCTTTTATCCAAAGCGACTTACATACTCAGTACTGTGGACAATCCCCACAGGAGTAATTTGGGATGAAGGGTCTTGCCCAGGGACACAACGACATGCTGACTGCAGTGGGACTCGAACTTGCTACCCCCTGATTCGAAGTCCAGCACTCTACCCACTGAGCCACAGCCGCCCAGAATGTATTTTTAACTGATTAACAATAATAGCAATGCAAATGTTATCATTGCATCAAATCAAATTGGAATTCAAATATCTGTTGAGTTAACTGTCTGATTTGAGGGACGGTGCAAAGTCATTGTTAATAAAACAATACTGAATAAATACATCTTATTTAAACTAGTCACTCATAAGGGTAGCATTTTCTTCACTGGTTACAAAAAGATTTTCGATTGTATAAAAGTCTATGAGCAAATGTGCCCACTTATAACCAGATTATTTTACCTGAGTGAACATTTCCCTACTCAGTTTATGGTCCCAATCCTACGTTTTAAGTCCACTCCATTGCTGCATGATGTTAAAATACTTAATGATGGTCCTATTTAAGGTATATTGAAGATAAATCCCGGTTCGCTTTAGGATGAGCATACGTTGTGACTTGAATGCAACATTTTAGCCTAGTGCAGAATTCCTTCATCTCTGCGCATCATTTCGGAGGAATTTCCTATGTTGAATTTGGTGCGATATGCTTGAAAGTTCCTGTGTTGACTGAAGAACATTTTTACAGCTTAAATGCCCTGCTGATACTCCTATAATCATGGCACTCAGGGTTGAAAGTGTGTGTTGTGGGGTGGAGTCAGGGAGCAGCCTCTGGCACGAGGCACCTGTTGGGTCCGCGGTGTTTCTGTCTGTGGCCTGCTCCGACACATCCCTCCAGTACCATGGCTCGCAGCCCAACATATTCCCTTTAACCACCAATGACGCACATGCAGCTGCTGCCAACACTTAATAGAGGCTTTTCATATTTTCACCCTTGTTTATGTCTTTCATTTTTACCTGTTCCATTAATATAGCAGTGTTTTACTGCTGCTTCTTAAGTGTTAGCTCAGGGTGTTTGTACATGCTTACAGTGTTTGAAAGGGCACCATTAAACATCTAATGCCTGTGTTGCGTGCCTCACTCCGACAAACAAGCCTCCCTGTGTTCCCTGAAAAGCCTTTAGGTATCAACCTTAAGACGTCAATAGTTTCTTAACAGTTAGTATTATAAACAATTAAGGGACCCACTTATGTAAACAGACAATGATGCTATTTGTCATGCACACACAGCCTGTGAAGATTGATTCAAATCAGCACCTGTCAGAAATCGACTTGTAAAAACGCTTGTTGAGACAGGGTTTTGATTGATCTGGAAAAAACTCCTTAGCTGAGGGGTTTTTATTCCACCTCACAAGTTGAAGATAGAACTCAGGCCATTATCTTCTGACTGAAGGGTGCTGGCATCATTGAAGCTGTTTATTCATGCTACCTGAAGATGCTCTCATGTTGCTGATGGCAGGATGGAGACAGCCTGGCTCAGTGTTACGTGTTATTGAATTCATTTAACTGCAGATGCTTACTGCAAACTGAAGGTACACCTTTCCATTTCCTGACACATGGTCATCTGTGTTTGTTTTATGCTTTCAGGTATATGACCGCACTGACAGACTCTGATGATGAAGAAGAGCCCAGTGATGCAGAACAGAGCGATGAAGAACAACCCGTAGACAAGCTCTGTGTTCTTCTGGAGAGGATCGAGCTTTTGCACCAGGGTACAGACTCTGAAAAAAGAGAAAGTCTACAACTCCTTCTGGAGAACAGAGATGAGGTTTGTTAAAGTTCATGCTGAGTCCTGCATACATTTCATATATAGATGTATTTGTAGCTAAATAGAGTGGTGCAGTGAGGACGTTTTTTTTTTGTAGATCAACCCAGAAGTTTGCATTGCAAGGGTTCCTTCAACAAAATGTCAATGGGATTTTTCAATTGGCTTTTAGGATATTGCTTTTGAAAATAGGATCTGTGACAAACACACGTTTATAATACTTTTGTTTAGAAGAATAGTCTCCACATATTATGATTTTGAAGTTTAAATGTTGTCGCCAGAATTAAAGCTACCTGCTATAAACAAACTACTTCATGTACGCATGACTGATCACCTCCATTGCTAAGATAAAGTCAGTTAACGTTAACATGATGACGTTTACTCGTCTCATTTAGACACTTGTAAGCAACCACTGTATTTCATATATATACAAGCTTTGGAAACTCACAAGTCGGGTATTTACTGGAGTTTTCTATGTCGTACAACAACATTTGACCATTTCCTAGCTCTTATTAATCCCAGAACTTATTCATTCAAGATCATTTTGACTTCGAGGCAAGGGATCTAGAAGTATTTAAGTATTGATAATGAATTTCCGCGTTTTAGGACCCATTCGTACTCCACTATATATGTACTGATAGTCACATTTCTTAGTGATTCTTGATTTCTTTTTTAAAGAAAAGAAAATGGTAAACTTGTGTTTACCAAATAACAGTTTTTTATTTTTAGTCCTAACATAAATCACATTTAACAACTATTGACTTCAAGACCAGGAGCCAGGAAGTTGTTAAATGCTAACTCATATCTGGGTTTTAGGACTCATTACTGCACCACAACAGTGTGTATAACACTTTGATGTTCTTCTGCAGTTTGGACAGAACTCATTATTTCTCTGGCGGCTGATCCGAGCGTACTGTGATGTCCATGATGTCAGCTCCACTCTGGAGGAGAAGAAGACCCATGCAGAAACTGGTAATCTACTGAACCATGTGATGTACCTCATTCACCAAGCATACCACTCTAGATTGGAGTTACTATAACATCATAACCAAAGCTGGTATATACTGTATTTCATCTGGTTAATACAAAATAATGCAAGTCTATATTCCTCCAATGACCTCAGTCAGTTCATTTGAGTAGTTTACCTACAATGAATTGTTAGAAACAATAACTTGGATCAGATGAGACATTTGCAGTAATTACAGAAACATCTTTGGTTGTAAATCAAACCCAGTGGGCCTCATGCAGCAACATTCTCTTATTTGTACTTATATAAAGTCAAATCCAGCTGCACCAAACATTTTTCATCCAAATCTCTTCTTACCCAGGTGTGCTGAATGATGACTCTCACATGATCATACATTGAAGTTGTGTGTGGCAAGTTGTTTATTATAGCCATAGGTAATGCCCCCCTAAACAATTACAATTAATAGGGACAGGTGTTGTGATGCATGCAAATATTCTGGCACATGCGTTGGAATTTGAAAAAAAACAAACCAATAAAAGGCTTTGAGAAGAAAGAATTCAGCAGTAGTGATCTCACTTTACTGTAAAAAAACAAACGTTGATAACATGGGATTTTTTTTACAGGAAAATCAAAAGATGTCATATGTAAACTATTAAAAAGCTGAACTCACGCAATAACTTCCTGCAAGGTTTTTATAGTGTTGATTGAGATCACTGAACCAATCGTTTTTTCCTACCCCATAAATGTAATAATCCAATCTTTACAGTAACTCTAAGACATATAAGAATCTAAATATGATGATATGATATTGAAGCATGTCATATGGGGTACTAGCCTTAAGAAGCGTAAGTGTTACACAGTGATGTCACGGAAGTTAACAAAGGAATCCAATGGAGGCGTTTCAGGCAGGGGGGGGGTGGGAGTGTGTGGGAGAGAAACACCATTTAAATGCACAAGAACCTATAGAACACACTACAGGAAAGGGAAAACCCAAAAACCATAATAGGGCCCCTTTAAACATTTGGAAAATGTATTATTTTTTGCTATTCACATTGTAGCACAATGCATACAATTGATTGAATATTCATCTGTCATGGCTGAAAATGTATACTATACAGACATATTTCTTTTTAGCCTAGGCTTAAAAGTAGGGTAGGTAAGTTTGAGAAACCGTCTCGAGATACACTTTTTGTTATATTCCATGGAATGCTCTTAACATCCCGATAGCAATGAATATCTTAAGTGCTTTGACAAAAAATCCATAAAAAAATGTCATCTGTAGAAGCTGTAGTACTGTAAAAAGCACGACCAATCGTTTTAGCCGGCCCGGCTAAAATAACTGGATGGCCTACCTGCCTGTCAGCCTTCCATCTGTGCACAAACTTATCTCGTGCCCTCATTGGTCATGTGCGCGTTCGTGTGTGTTGGAGGAGGGGCTCTATAAGGAAGTGGCAGATTTTCTCCGGTTGTGTATTTTCAAATTCTAGCGATCTCGAGCCGGTTTCTCAAACTTACCTACCCCACCTTTAAGTTGCCTTTACATTATATGCAATAATTTCTTTGCTCACCTCGAGGTTTTGCACAGAGCCTTGCTGTGAAAACGGCTAGTCAAGTTTTGTTTCTATGGTTATATTCCTTGCTAGCTTGCGCCACTTCATACAACTGTCATCTGATTGATTAAGCTTTGAACGGTCAGTGGTAAACAAGGTCAAAGATGAAATCATTTTAAACTTTTAGGGCAGGGCTCAGCAACAACTTGCGTGACACAGAGGGTCTCTCCATAGGAACACAACGGTAACGTTAGCAAAGAGCTGTTTCACCGCGTTTCATGTGAATGCAGCTTGACATACAAGTGAAGGAAATTGCTATACACCATGCATCTTCCAGAAACTTAAATAGGTTATGCACTCAACATGACCTCCCAAAGGCTCTTTAAAAACAGAGTAGGACTTTCCAGGTTTGTCTTGTATTACACTAAGACTTTGTTCCGTATACCATTATGCTTTTTACTTTGATCTCAAACATAGGCTGTTTTGTTATTCTGCTAAAGTTCAGACTGGACTGACTTGTTTCTCTGTAAATCTTTATCACCAATGTGCCTCTAATCAGAGCTGGCCAGGTGCTTCCTGTCACACCTTTGTCAAAGTTAGAGAAGGAGATATTTAAAGCATCAGCTAATCATATTTGACATTTCACTGAGATATTAATAGAGCTGCTAGAATGTTAGACTTTCCACTGAGTGGTGAAGGATTTAAAACAGAGCTCTATTCTTGGACGTATCACTTTTGTTTTCATTGCTTTAATCCAGTGCCCGGCCTTTATTAACGTACATCCTGTTTTCTTTTCTCAGTAATAAAAAACCCTCTTGTGTCATTTGAGAATGTTGGTTTTGTTTTGGAGCATCTTCATCTAAAGTATCCCTATCTCTTCTTTCCTCTTAGGGAAGAGAGTTGGTGAGGAGGCAGTGTCCCTGAACCCTACATGTGCTGAAAGTCATCAGTGGTACGTTTGACTTGTTTCCTTCCTTAAAGGCCGCTACACACCCACCTGAGACCAAAGAACGCGTACCGAAGGCGTCCCGACTTTTACGTCAGCTACGTCGCCTGCGTCGGCTACGCCGCCCGCTACGCCGCCCGCTACGCCGCCCGCCTACGAACACACCGCAAATACTTCAGTCGACGAGTGGCAATAACTGTCCTTACCAGCAGGCAGCGGTAGTGTGAACAGCCAATCAGAGTGATTGCTTGGGCCGACTTTCTCTGACCTCCCGAGGCCGCGGGAGGTGTGAAAAGGTGCCGTAAAGAGACGACGGTGCGGGACACACCAACCCGAGTAGGGCGCCGCGAATGCCCGACTGCCTCTGACGGCCTCTGACTCCCAAAATCGGGTTGGTGTGTAGCCAGCTTTACACATTCAAAAGCTACTTTTTGTTCCGTTCAATAAAGTCTTTAGAGCTGCAGTTTCAAAGGCTAATCAATCAACAACACTTGATACAGTTTGATGGCATGTGACTTGCTTTCATTGAGCGTGGTTGGATCCAAAGTGTTTCAGTTAATTCTACGAGACAGAATGAAAGCATAAACACAGGTACTTTCCCCAGATGAGAGGTGATGAGGGGGCTGGGCCTTTGAGTGATGTCTCGGGCCCCGGAGCTGCCATTCCTCTGTGTTTACTCAGGCACTTCTTTGGTTAGTTTAGCAATAACTTCTTAGAAAAAAACACCGGGGTAAAACACAGACTGAATTTAATGTGAGTATTGTCAGTTTACCAAACGAGCAACCTCGAACACAAGGATTTTAGCCTTCGCAGACGTTTTACATGCACAAAAACCTATAGAACACACTACAGTGAAGGGAAAACTACCAAGAGCATAATAGGGCATCAAACGAGATAATAAAGCTGGTTATACATTCGGGCGGGACTAGCTTGTGATTGGCAGGTTGATGCCATGTTTTGCTCGTGTTTGGTTAATCACATTATTCCACAGTAACTCTGGAATAGTGAGATACATTTTCCCGTACTGCAGTTGCTGTTCTATGTTGGTGGTGAGAGGATGAGCTTGAAAACAAGGCAACTAAGTGGACATGTCAGTATGACTAATAATTCTCCCTCTGAATGGTCCTTAGTATAACATTAAGTTCAGGGGAATTCTGTTGCCGTAGGTGATTCTCAGACAAAAGAAAATTGGGAGAACCTCACCTCCCTCCGCCCTGCCTACCTCCCCTGTTGCCCTGTTACTCAGGGAAAAATCCCCTTGCTTTTAATTAGTTGTGCAGAGTGGGCCTGATGGCATGGATCCCGTTTGTATTTGTGAAGGCCCCAGTGGTGCATTCCTCATCTGGAACACCACTCATGTCAAAACTTGACTCCTGATCATACATGGAATCCATGGCTGGAGTGGAGAGATGCAGATTGCACCAGATGCAGCTCTGAGATAAGCTTGCAAATGTTGAGATTTGAAACCAAGTGCAAAGTCTTCTTAATGCAGCTACAACAAAAAGATACAAAGCTGTGCGCTTAACTTGCTTGTTTGTATAATACTAATAGTTTTCCCAGTGTATACATTTGTTAGCTGAATTAGTGTCCTGTGTAATTGAGATCATGAAGTTACTTTCTGTATACGTGTGTGTGTGTATGGAAAGCAGATCCTAAATGCCTGCTTTAGCCAGCAGCCCAGCTTGCTGCGTTCGTTAGGGAATAATTAGCATTAGCTCATGCACATACCGCAGCACCCGAGACGTCAAGTGGAATAGAAAGCCGTGTTTGTTTAGTTAATTAAGAGCAACAGCTTTAAAAAAGCTTAATGCCTAATCCTATATCCACTAATGGAATTTGTAAGATTCTTAAACCAAACAGTTACGCTGTCTAAATTGAATGGACAGGGCAAAGTAGGTAAAGCTGCACTTTGAGAAGGGAGGAGGCAGGGAGTGGGGACGGTGCCAGGCAGTGTTGCAAGGAGGTTTATGTCTGAGGTAACTGTTTACTTAGTGTACCGATTCCGTGAGAAAACTTGTCACCTGTGTTCCTGAATGCTGCCTTACTTGTCACGATTTGGCAGAGTTGTTTAGACGAGCTGCCACTCACTTCCTGAAATTCCACTCAAACTGCTTTACATAACCCAAGTGAATGGGTAGCTTTTTGAACCTTTGCATTGCGTTTTACAAGGATTAAAGTCTATTCAAGTGTTGGAAGGGGTCCAAAATGAATGCAGATTTCTTTTTTTTCCTTTTTTTATTCGAAAGATCTACAACTGATTTGCAATTGATAACAAGTTATTGCATTTCGTTTTTTATGTCTGTATCTCAAAATAACAAATGTTGTTTTAAGAGACATAGACCTAAGCCCATTATGTTTAATTTAGGGAATGTATTTACTTAATACTACTTTAATTTTAAGTAGTAAAAAATGTTTTTTATATCAAGACAATGACATCATTTCTTTAAGATCACAAGAAATCATATAAATGTACTTTGTTTTCACAGGAAAATGGAGGAAATGAAATGTTGTAGTCATGGCAGTTTGTAGTTTGTTGACACCCTAATTCTGTTGTTACCATATTTCATTTATGGAAAGAGCTTTAGTCATTTGTATTTATACAGTAAAAAAAGAAATGATATCCTGTAAACCGCAGTGACCTGATGTGTAGTCATTCATTGATTTTTGAGTGACATCTTAGCAGGAAGGGTGAGGAGGATCATCTCAACAAACCTGCTTTGTTGTATCTTTAGCTTGCACGAAAGCCCACAGATGTGAGTACATCGCTGTGCCACTGTGAGAGGTGGTAATGGACCACTTAAGGGCCTGTGTCCCCCAATGAATTTAAACCAAAACTTAAGAAAGCTTGTCCTCCCTTCAATAGCTTCTCCTACATTTCAATGACACAAGCAATATATACTTTGCACTTGTCTGTAACCCATAATTAAATGCGCGTTGGTGAAATTAGCTTTAGACTCGATTGTCTTGTTTGGGTAGGCGGAGCAGGTTCAGCCTGGCCTTCTGGTCCTTTGAAGAACCTTCCTTTTATGGGTGGTGCTCCTGCAATAACCAGCCTGTGTATTGGGACTTACATCTGTAAACATAGCCTTTACAGTCTATGAAAGAATCGGGGGTGGACAAGAAGATGGTTGATCAACCATTATAACTTGTATTATAATTATTTCAGTAGCGGTAGTAGTAGCATGCCATTCTTTGCTAGTTAGCACCATAGACTTTGATGCTTTGTATCAAATAAGGTACTCCTTAAACTAGTTTTGAGTGCATCCCAATGTCATTACTGATGCTTAATATGGCAAAATGCAGTGCACTGTGTATACCCTGATAGTGGACTCATAACCGTTTAAAAAGTTAAGTGTGGTACGCTGGATGTGGGTTTCTTTCACTATTTATTCACTAAGTAACGTACCACTATACTGGTACCAAAAAAAGCCACCATTTATTTTCTAGGTTTAATTTAGCAGTTTGTAATCATTTGAAGAATCATTGCTAGCTAGCTAAAGTCGAAATTCACTCAATGCAAAATGGTTTACAGTGCATGACAAGCAGTGTAATAAAGGAATTATTGAGTTGAGACACAGTATATATCTTAAGGGGAACTCATTGAGTGGATGGAGGTCTTGCAAAACCTGTACTTGGTATGTTTTTTTTGTAACCAGAAGTGACATGAGATGGCAAAGCTAACAAAACTGAACACTGACCAAGACATTTTTAGGAAACAGAAATGTGTAAGGGTTTAAGCTCTAAGACAAAACTCGGGAACCCCTAGACCGGACAACCTAGAGTAGACCATACGCTTGTTATTGACCTGTCAATCATAAGCTTGCCCCCCCCTAAAGCATACATGCTCATTTTGTTTGCAAAGCACCAAGTTGATGCCCATATTGAAGATACAAAAAACTGTTGATGTGCAGGTTCAAGTTTCAAAATTATTCAAAAGCCTCACACAGTCGAGCGTGCATCCTTCCTCAGACTGTACTTTGGTCGTTTGAGGAGCTGAAGTGATGAAGGATTGTCCCTACAACAGTCATCTCTTCACAATAAATGACACATACTTTTTCACTCTGTCACGCACTCATCTCTGAACTTTCCCCTGGAGAAGTGGATGAGGACTCCTTTGAAGTTGTGTTGAGGCAGTCAAAGAGCACCAATGAAACGAATCAGTATCTCCACAGCTTTGCACACTTTATGCATTTTCTTGCAACTTAAAAAAAAAATGACTCCAATAGACTCATGCAAATAATATTACGCAAGCTCACGGCGTACCTCCTAACTCCCCAGAAGAAGCTTATATTAGCGAATAAGCAAAATGTGCAAAACATGTTGTACCTACAAAAAAAGCACGAATGTCCCCACAGGCTTCCAAAGAGGGAGACATTCTTAATTTCATTGCTCAACAAAGACCTTGAGTGATCTTCCTCACATAATATACATGAAACAAAAAAGTTTTTCACTATATGATGTCGGAACGACGCTTTAAATCCATCATCGTGTCTTCTTTTGCATTTCATTCTGCATTCCTCAAAGAATTTCTAATAATCCCATAACAACTTGATGGAAACGAACAATCATTTTTATTTATGTTTTGCAAATTCCTCATACCTTTTGGATGGAAACCTGGCAGGTGTCACCTCCTACTTTGTTCTAATTCTCTGTGCATTTTAGAGCACACACCTCTAAATCTGTCCTAATGTTACATTCTTCAAAAGCACTCCAGTTATGTGTAGCCATCGCGTCTGCCGTAGAGCTTTCTAGTAAACCACAAAGAGAGCTGATATGTAGACTAAAGTGGGATATAATGTAAGATGTGTTTTGCCTATGAATGTGTACGAGTGAAGTTAAAGTGGACCTATCATGCTATATTTGAATAATATTTTTTTTCAAAATACCAAACAGGTCATGCATTTTAGCCATGCCTCATTTTGCTCAATTTGACATTTTTTAGCTCTATTTTTGCAAGGGCAGATTCTGTGAGAACAGCACCATCTACTGGCCTGGCATATGTACTACAGCGTCTCCAGCACTTTCGAACGGCAATGGCCGTGGCTGTCTCCTCCTGATTGGTGGAGTTGGCCCAATAGCCGTAGCGCCACCCTCCTGACGTCAGGACAGTGTTCAAATCTGGATCAGTTTTTATCAGATCCGTTGCAGCCCCTTTTTTTAGAGATTTGGGTATGGAGGAAAATAGAGAGGGTTGTGTTTTCTGACACTTGGTGAGTTCCCTGGAACACCGGGGACACATATTCATGTATAAAAGACGTACAAAAGTGCATTTTGCATGATAGGTCCCCTTTAAGCTTGCATTGGGTTACATTGGAAATGGCTTTCGTGACAGTGAGTGTCAGAAGCCTGTTTGTATAATCTCAGCAGTATTGCTGGCTTTGTTTATAGGTTCGTTTTCAATGATCCCACCGTGTGAATTCAGCCCCTGTAAATCCCCGGCTATAGGGCCCCTCTGATGGTACAAAGGCCCTGTGGATTAAGCAGGGAGCCTGTTGAAGTGCCAGTCAGAGGGGGGCCAGGATGGGCTCACTTTGACCTCTATGAAAAGGCAACTTTAATTTCAAACGCGTGCCTCTGTTTGCAGCGGTCATCTTTAGCGGCAGCATTGTGCTTTGTTCCCAGTTGCCGTGGAAACCCTGTGTGTGCGTAAACTTCACTGTACTCTGGAACACACAGCTGCAAATCACACACCTCCCAAGCAAAGAAAACACCGACAGCTCATTCTGTCATTGGCTAAGTACATCGGCGCACTGCAGACATTGTCTCACGCACGTTGTCCTTGAATTCCTCGAGTTCCTGCTCCTGTTTCTGTACAAGTTTTAGCCTGGGGTCTTGCCTGACCCTCTCTTTCTTTGAATGAGGTCTCTATGTTTGGATTTGAAGGGCTGAAATCAATCTGCTGTTTCCGCCAAGCAGCTGACACTTAGGCCCTTTTTTTTTTGCCCAGTAGAGTGGGGGATTTCACTGAGCCGCGCTAAAACTCGGACTAACCTTGTGCAATTAGCACTTCTGTCCTCTTCTCATTTTCACGCTGACATGTTTCCCTGTCGCCCATTTCCCCCCCCCTCCTCCTCCTCCTCTTCATATTTCCATTTTCTAGCCCTAAGACAGTCGGGGAAAGATAATATTTCAACTCTGAAGAAAAGGATAAACAATAGCAGGTCGGCCCCTGAGGCAAGACACGCCTCTCTACACCTTCACATCCTCTCTGCCTATGTTCTCACTCCCCTTACTTCTCTACGCCCCCAGAAGTCTGCTTCTGTTACACAATGACAAAAGACATATTGCATAACACCAAAAACAACACACCTCACCTTCTGCACGGTGCAGACATTTTGCCCTTTCATTTTAAGATTTTGGAAACGATATAGATAGAAGACCTTTGTGCACAAAAAGCACCCTATGTCTACAGTTTTATTTTTCCTTATCGTTTTTTTGTTTTATTTTATTAGTAGTTTATTGTTCATTGGATTCTTAGCTATTTTTGGGTCACTAAAAAAGATTGAACTGTTAACTACAAAATGCTATGTAAATATTATGTGACCCCAAATAAAGAATAATAAAAAAATATATATTAAAGACCTTAGTCAAATGCAACCCCCCCCCCAGTCTAACTCCACAGGGGGTCTCCAGGTGCAGCTCTGCCACTGGCACTCTTGGGGCCACATACTTTGCACTAAACACTGCCAGAATTGCTTCATGCTGAATAATGTTAGAACTAGCCAATCAGAGGTAAGTAAAAATATGTCTTGCGGTAGCCTGGATGTTGAGCAATCTCTCCCAAATTCATGTCAATTCTGATGACTCTTCCCTTCAGGTATGCTGCTCTGGTTGCTCCTCATCAAACCACCAGCAAGATTACAAGATGTTTTGCATTTAATCATATCAGCATACTGCATGCTTATAGAGACAGATTTCTGACTTACTGGTTAGCATCACTTCCCAAGGAAGATTGCACTTATCTGAGCTCATTAATGTGGTATTGACTTGTTGGAATCACTGTGCATTGTGGGTAATGTCAAACAGGCAATGATAAGCTAGGAAATGTTCTTGTTTATTAATTAGGATTAGTATGCTATTTTGACCATTTATGTTTAATTAGAGCAGCATATTGCAGGCTGTACACATTTGATTGTTTTAGCGATTAATTTGTGTCCAAAAGTGATTCCTTGTATTGTTCAATCAGCAGGCCAACATCCAATCCAAATATTAAAATAATGGTGATATGGTAAAGGAGAAAGCAGCACTAGTTGCTATCAATACATTTTTGGGCATCTTAGTTTAGGATGTTAGCATGCTAACCTGTGTTGTCAGCACTAAAGTACTAAACATTGCAAATATCTGGCCATAAACCAATGAATTAGACAAAGTGAAAGTTTGACCTCATAATGATGCTTTATTCTGAGGGGTACATGGGTTTATATTTGTAATATCTATACCAAACAATCCAATCCAATAGCTGCTAACATTGCGTGCAAGTGTTTAGTCAAGCCGATGGTCCACTAGATAGTTAGCTGTTCCTGTACTTGTACTTATTTATTGTGAAATGCTTATCCAATACACAGGCTCCAAATAAGAAAAGTTCCCAGTCTCATTCAAAAATGTTTTGAGCCAATGTTTAATTTTCTCACTTTGTTATTCCTTCGCCCTGACGACAGCCGAGGCCAGAGGCATAATGTTTTTTGGGTTGTCTGCCTGTATGTCTGGCCGTTGTCAATCTCATTCTTGTGAACGCGATACTTCAATAACGTCTTGCAGGGAATTTATTAGAATTTTGCACTAACACCCACCAGTGAGCTTTTTAGGTGATGACATTTGGACAGACATGGATATAAACAGCAACTTAATTAGTTAGGGGAAGCAAACGACCACAAGGCAGTTTTTCAAGTTCAATTGTATATAGTCAGGCTGTGGAACTGCTGCAAACTATGCAAGACTCTTATTACATCTTTGACAGGAGCTCAAACTGTTATTTAAAATGTAGTAATCAGGTGTAAACCAGCAGTTCCTGGCTCCTTTTCTGCACAGCAGATATTAAGTCAACAGGGATGGATTTGCTCAAAGCCTTAACATCCAGCAGTCTGTTTTCGTTGGAAGCTAGGAAGCATAACTGCAGACAGATAGCATCTCTGATGTTGTGGAGCTCCCAACTCATAGAGTGCCAACCAGTGGCAGCATGGCCGCACCCTGCGCTTCCTTTAGAAAACAAACACATCCTTTTTGTTCCAATTCCACACAATTCATCAGCATATGTTTTCTTTGGAGAGTATATTTTTGGTTCTTAGAAGTTATGTGGTTGGTATTTGTTGTTGTTAATTTAACACCGCCCACAGTAAGTAGGAGCAATGACAGTAAGGTGTGTTGATGATCATTTAACATTTTGATTACGTAGCTATTGGAACATTGTCAACTGAAGTCAAACGGCTAAATCTTTGTTTTTTCTTTTCAGTAAAAACCTGCTAATGATGCAGTACATGCAGTCTTTTCTCTGTGGTTTAATCGATCAACATGCTGTGCCTGATCACAATTCAAAGACCAAACCAGAAAGAGTGTGGACAGCATAGGAGAACGGTAGCTCACTGATAAACCCATTCACACATACCAGACACTTCAGTACACACACACACGCACAGTCGCAGATTCCATCTACCATCACCACCATCATGTCAGACGACACTGCTAGATGAACTTTGGGCACGCTGATCCTTTATATAAAAGGTATTTGTGTCGCTCGGTGGTGTTTGACAGAGTACCAGCAGGAGTAAATCAGCCTTGCAGAGAAAATACTTTGATCAGCTCTCTCCGCTCTTCTCCAAAACGTCATGCTGACTTACACATTCCCAGATGAAATAGCTCTTTGTTTCCCTTCCACCTGCCCACTGGTCCAAGGCGGTGTAATAATGAGTGGGCAAAGGACTAAGGTGATGCAGCTTATCTCTGCTGACGTTGCCTTATGAGGAGTCAAAGAAGGTTGAGTGTTGGTGCTTTTTCATTCCTTTTGGTGTCTCATTGTTGGCCCAGAAAAAAGGTGGTGTGACTGGAAGTACATTTCTCTCCAGCACTCCCAACTCCGCAAAACTTCACTGCTTGACTTTTATACTGTAGTAAGTCAGGACTGGGAGTCCAAAACCTTGAGTCTGTGTACAATTTACACTGACCTACAGGTACTTAGAGGGAGCTGGGAACAATTTAAGTAGAGCGGAAGCAGAGTGAACCAACAGCACCATGAATAAAGAGTTGGCTTGCAAATATATGAACATTTTCTACTGATTGTTCTTGGGAACCTTCTCACTGTTGGCACTTGCCTGTACTGAGCAACCAACCAAGTATTGTTGAGTAAAAACCCTATTGTTTTCGTTTCGTATTTAATATCCCTGACCACTTAGTATCATTCATCCATTTGTTAGCAAATAGCCAAACCCTTTCCAAATCTGTTTAACCATTAAACAAGCCCTTCGGTTACACCATGCTGACTCCTTCCGTGTCTCACACTTGTGAATGTGTTAATCTGTGTTTTCCGATAGGGCAAAGCTCATTATTTTCAGTTTGTATAGAAAACATTAAATCGGTAATCTGTTTATTTTGAGTATTAAAGAAAGATATTTTAAAACCACTCTTTGTTATGCATGTTGTACTTTTGCATTCATTAGAACTCTACTTTTTTAGTAGAAAGGGGGAGATAGAGGGGAGGACATTTCCTGATTATCCGCGGGTTTGGGAGTCGAACCCGCTTACTTGGCAGCGGACACCTCTTATGCATACAACATTTGATTTTTGGTGAAAAAGACCATTTGTAGTGGTCATTGTCGTCTTGCAGCAGGAAATACGGCAGCGATTTGGTCCAGAGGATGTCAAATCTGTAAAAATGTGTTAATGAATAACCTGTTAACAATTACCCAAAGAGTATAACCTGTCGACACATTTTACAAAACTAAACGACATCATACTGTTTCTCCACAGGTACGCCATCATGTGTGGAATAATGGCAGAATATGACACAGTGCAGAACAAAATAAAGAACGGATACATCTTTAAGGTAAGTTCAATTTATATGTTGTGTCTGGAAGTGTTCTGAAACTAAATGAAATGCTTGCACTATTATTTGTATACTTTTTTCATATACAGTGTATGTTGTATATAGTTTCTCCTATGTAGCGGGGAATGGCTTCTCATATAACTTAAGCCTGTAAGCCACTCCTACAGCCTTTGGGTTGCATAAGCTGGAGTGTGGAGCAACAGCACGTAGCATTTTATCTGCTGTCAGCAGCCTTCACAAACACTGTGTACCTGCAAAGCAGGTGAAAGAGAAAGCCATAGAAGAGGAGAGGGAAGATATGAAAGAGGGGAGGAAAAAAAGCCTGAATCACAGAGAAGAAGAATGGAAAAGAACGAGGGTGGGTGTGTGCAAGCCGGGAGTGTGTGGTCGCTCTGCGAGATCGCGTGTGTGAGAGGTGTTTGTGAAATACTTGTGGGTTGGTGAAGCAGGACAGATCAGGCCAGAACAGAAGGCAGTGGAAATAGCAGCCGTGTCATGAATCAACAGTGAAACTCTTCTGTCTGTCTGTGTGCCTCCCCTCCCAGGATCATCTGGATAAAGCCATTGAGCTGAAGCCACAAGACCCCTTGTCCTACTACCTGCTGGGCCGCTGGTGCTACGCTGTATGTGACCCCCCCACCCCGACACACGCATATCTTTCACATCACTTCTCACATACACACACAGTGGATTTATGGAGGCTGTCATGTCTGCGTGCCACTCTCCTCCCTCTGCTAACCCACACATCATTTCCCCTCATTCTTTCCTTCTGTTTAGGTTTCCCTGAGGGTTGTTATTCTCTCGGGGATATTCATAGAAATCTGCACCAGCCATTGTTAGCTTGAAATCAAAATTCTGCTTATGTGCTTTCAGTGTAGAAAGTTCGCCCATCAATAATGTAATCACCAGCAGCATTTATCAAAGTCTTTAAGTTAAATTATTTTAAGGGCTGAAACTATATTAGATCATATCACACAAAAAAATCACGATGATAACAATGAAAGCAAGGAAACTATATCTAAATAGTCAGTCAAGCATTTGATACAGCTTAAAGGTAATAGCAGTACCCTTAACAACAGGAAACAGTTTACGGTTGAAAAACCAAAAGAAGTTCCTCCTTAATTATCATATAGTCTGATATTATGTAGCAGTATATCCTATTTGAAGAGGGGCTTTGTGCCTTCAGGTTTTTCTTTGATCTCTTTTTAAAAACTTATGAACTTGTTATACAGTAATTGTTATGGCAAACCATTGCATATCTCCATTCCTCTGAACATGACTGTACACTACATTAGTTTCTGAAACAGGAAGTGAAAAACAACCAGTTATGGCGATTACTAATATATGAAAATTGTAGGTGAAATTGATGGTACAGGACATTCATGAGCTATTTATCATGAAACTCAGTACCAGTTTTTAAAGTAACTGCCAGAAAGGAAGTAAGATATTACAGGGATGGCTCTGATGAAGTTATATAAAACTAATCTACACTGTTGAAGCCAGAGGAGTGAGGTACTGTGCAGATTTAGTGGAGCTATAACACCTGATATTTTCAGTTTACGGGCTGTCTCATGCTGCGTTCATGCTCAACAATGATCTACTGTTTGTCATCAGCCAGCGGTTCTGTTTGAAAGGTCCTGTGATGACGCCAAAGCAACGCTACACCTGCAATTAGTTGGAGAATTAGTGCGAGGCAGGAACATTACATGTCTGACCCCGTCTTACTACTGGCCATTTATATCTTCTGTGAAATTTGTCAGAAGAAAACAATGGTGTATAGAAGAAGAATAAGAAGAATTGGATGAAACCCTCTTTATTTTGTCATACATGTACACGCACACAGTACAGCACAGCAACATTTGACCTTTTCATTTAACCCATCCTACCATCCCAGTTTACCTCTTGGGCCCTGGTGCCGAAAACCTGCCCTTGAGCAAGGCACCGGACACTAAAAAAAAAAACACAAAGCCGACAACCTATTCAACAGTTGGGGTACATAGTCCCACAACGTTACCCACTGTGTTCTGGACATTCAAGAGATTACTTGTCAACCTTACTGCGATCAAAACTTTGCCGTTCCCCAGACATCTGTACAAATCTGGATCCGGGCTCCTGGCCAGGGTGTCCGTCTTCTGAGATAAAGTTCAAGTAGCATGATGTGAACTCGGCTCCTCTGTCTCCTCCTTGTTAAGAAAGTCCATTGCCTCTCGAGGATCCGTGAACTTCATTATTTTCCTCTTCCATGTAAAGCACATCTCAGACGTATACGCGAGGGTAAAACGTACATCCAGATTGTGCAGCCGGCTTCTTACATCAGTAAACTATCGCTTCTTCTCTGCCGTCTCTTTAGTCATGTCGGGGGGGAAATGACAACTTGCAGCTTCCCTAGATTATACCCTCCTTGTTTCTATATGCCTCCCTTGCGGTGGCCAACACCCAATCCCGCTCGAGAAAAAGAACCTAATGATGATTGGCCTGGGTGGCCGGCTTTCTTCAGGCATTGGTATCGGGGCTCGGTGCACCTGTGCAGCTGTGTTCCGTCCATTTCAATTGTTTCGATTGTTTTTTCTGCCAATATACTGCTCTGTACTCCAGTGCTAATGCACCAACACATTGTTTGCCGACAGCCTATAAAACATTTTTGAAATGGACTGTCTTTCATAGTGTTCATCACATTTGGGCTATACACACACACAATGGGGTTTTACATTGATTGAATTCATAACATTTCAATGTCATGGCAGCTTTTGCTCTCATGATGCATAGACAGTAGAACTGCTTGCAAACACGCTCATAGACTCAAGAAGCGATGGCATTAGCCACTCGAACAGGCACTTGACTACTACTACGAAGTTGATTGTAGAATGTTCCCTTCATGTAATTGAAAAGTTGTAATTTTATAATGAAAGGCTAATGAAGTTATTAAGAAATTGAATCAAGGGAAGTGTGTCTTAATAGTTAATTAAACATCACCTGAAAATCTTGTTCTGGCTCCATTCGTTTTGAAGTGCTGTACTGGTGTTCTGTTCGCTGGGATCACTGTCACAGCCCTGCTGGGTGTGGTGACAGGTGCATCAGAACAGCCAACCCCACCCAGCAAGTGGAACAGGTAGAGCATTCAATTTGACATTGTGATGTAAAAGAACACACTTTTCAGATCAACTAAAGAAAAAGGGTTTGTTTTTTTCAACGCTAACCTGTAACCATGTAGCCAACCAGCTCAGAAACTCCTCAATGTGCATCAACCTGATATTTTCATTATTACAATCTCGATCTTTGAGTTTTATTGATTCAACATCATATTTTGTTATCACATAATTGACTTTCAAAATGACAGACACGGATTTCCTAATTTCTGTTCTCTTAACGTTTTAAACCATATAAGTACCCTTGTATGTGAAATATAATGATGGGATGATTAAGTTATGTTATGATGATTATATTACATGTTTGCAATACGAATATTGTACTGTGATTAAAAGTCTATAGAGTTCAATAGCTAAATAATAATATAACATATATATATTGACTATATCCAATGTTGATTTGCACATTTGATATATAATACTATAATAACAAAATAATCGCGATCAGATCATTTCCCCATATTTTTTACTTTTTTAACTAGAGAAAAGTTTGACACTGCTATTTGGCGTGGTATCAAGTTTCTCTGAATCTAATGTGCAGAATTGTATTTGAACTTGTGGTGTTGTCTTGCAGGTGGCTCAGTTGTCGTGGATTGAGAGGAAAGTTGCTGCTACTTTATTTGGAGACCCTCCAAGCGCCACAGTGGAAGATGCACTGAATAACTTTCTTAAGGTACAGTGACACATTTCCAACACTCTCCTCCTAACATACATTGTATTAGAAATACTACATATATATATATTGGTATATTGGTTAGCCGGCCGGGGCTTTAGGGCAAGCTGTGTGTGCGTCATTCTCACTGACCAATGGTAATGTTTACATGGATTTATGAACTGCCCCTCGATTCTATTGGCTGTAATGGTTACAAAGAGATGTCAATCGCCCAATTTGACCAATGGGTTCCAGAGATACGACCATACGTAATGCATGCAGGTCTGACTGCCAGCTGGCGCACCATTACGCATGGGGCCAAAAAGGGTATAGAGGTCATGGTGAATTTTCCAAAAAGGTCAAAAACTGTTGTATTTGGATGGAATGAATACCTATAGTGATAATTCAATGAATAAAAGGAGTTTTACAGTGTGGTACCTGAGAAACGTCAAATGGCACTGATGGTAACCAAATGTACCCAAAGGTGAGTCCGCCTGGACCTGCCTGTGCTAAAACTCTCAAAAAAATGTGAAGTTTCACTAAATTAGCATCTATCCCTACACAGGGTACTTATGATATATTGTGGTTTGGATCCCTAAAGGTTCTGTGCTACTATTCCATCATTTAAGAGTGGTTTTCACTATAAATAATGTGGGTTTTTGAGGCGGAGATTAGAATTGACATTTTTTTGCTATGTTCAATCTGAATTTACTTTAAAATAAAAACATCTATATTGATTCTGACACTTCTACAGCCAACTCACAGGTGTATCATTGCTTTGAGAAAAAAGATTATTCACATACCCCTTTTAGTTGTGAAGATATACCCATTCATTCTGGGTATGTCATTTTTGAGCCTGAGGCCTGAAAAATAGGCCCAGGGCTTAAGATAAATGCTAACCCATTCCCGGGTTATAGGACTCATTCCTACTCTACTTGTTAGGGACTGATAGTCTAATTTCCCATTGCTTCTTGATTTGATTTGCATTCAGTTGAAATGACTGCATGTTCCCACCTGAGCGTCCTGATTCAGAGTTTGTCTAGAGTTCTCTTGAAACTTGCCTCAGGGTCTCTCCCGTACCAGCGTTCGAAGCCCAAACGCTCCGTGTTTAGAAAGCTTAATCTGTCTTCCAATATTTCAGATGTTTATATAGTAGAGAAATGGATTTTGCTTCTGGCCAATATTCTTGTTCAGGCCTCTTCCTCATCGTCTTGTGTGTCTCAGCCATCAATTTAAGTGGTCCCTGTTACAACATGCTGCCTGTGACCAGGGGGGGGGGGGGGGGTGGCTCAGGTTAGGCTGTCGAGCTCTAACAAATACATCCTGTAAGGTATAACCTGTTGTTATCTGTAGCTGACTAACTGTAGGAGAGCTGTTGACAGGAGAGAGAGGCAGGGGAAGGAGTGGAGCAGTGTGTTGTTGTTCTGTAGGTCTTTGTAGAACTGCTGACTAGGCATGGGTCAAATCTGGTGTCTCATTTGAATCCAGGTCATTGAACTCTGCATCTAGTCCAGATAAAAATAAACATAAACAAGTAAACGATTGTGTTAATACGTCATCAGACAGTATAGTGAACATTGTAGGGGAGATCTGCAATTATGTTTTCCTTCACCAATATGAAGTATTTCAAAATGATCATATTGCTTCCGCTAAAAACAATACGTTTTCTTTTGAAAAAAGCCTTTCATTAAACTTGTTTCTTTTTTTCTTTTTTCCTCTTGTAGCACTTTGGGATTGCTTTTAGCAATGAAAGGTGCTTTAAAAATCAAATGCATTATTAAAGTGGACCTATCATGCTATATTTTAATAATACATTGTAGGGCCATACCTATATAAAACATGTCTTTGACATTTTTTTTTCAAAATACCAAACAGATCATGCATTTTAGCCATGCCTCATTTCGCTCTATTTGCTCTTTCCCAGCCCTGTTTTTGCAAGGGCTGATTCTGTGAGAAGTCTTCTTCGCTGCTTTTGTGGCAGACTACAGCGCCACTTACAGGCCTGGCATATGTACTACAGCGTCTCCAGCGCTTTCGAGCGGCAATGGCCGTGGCCGTGGCCCAGAGTCCTGCACGGGTCTGATTTTCAAGACCCGCGACCGTCCCGCACCCGCGACGTGCAATACCGAACCCGCCCCGCTACCCGCACATATTGCCAATTAGTTCCGCAACCCGACCCGACCCGTCGGCACAAGATCCGCAACCCGAGCAGTGAAAACGTGCAATTATTAACACACGCAGTTGCATATTTGTCTCAAAAAGCGTGGGATGTTGGCTATTTTCTCCATCTAGGATGACACCAAAAGCCTCCCAGACGTTGGATTTCGCTCTTGAGGAAGTGTTATTGAAAATGCTGTATTCTCCGAGCTTCGCCTTCACCTCAGCCATTTCGAATGTGGCTCGCTCAGCAGCAGATTGATGCGCTGCAGAGGTTATGATTATGCGCGGTCCCGCGGGGGAGAGGTCTGAGGATTTAAACATTAAACTAAATTATTATTATTTTTATATATTTATTATGCAACACCCGCGACACGACCCGCATCATCTTTGTTTTACCCAGAACCGAACCCGGAAAAAAGCGTTTGAAAAAATACCACCCGCGAATCACTTTTTTTGCGGGTCACCCATCGGGTACCCGCGACCGATGCAGGACTCTGCCATGGCCCAACCCCCCATTCCCCTGATAGGTGGAGAGTTGCCCATATAGGCGGAGCTCCCTGTTTCTGACGTCAGAACAATTTCAAATCTGTATCAGCTCCGTTGCAGCCCCGTTTTTAGAGATTTGGGTATGGAGGAAAAGAGAGAGGGTTGTGTTTTCTGACACTTGGTGAGTTCCCTGACACACCGGGGACACATATTCATGCATAAAAGACGTACAAAAGTGCATTTTGCATGATAGGTCCCCTTTAAGTCAACCAATCCAAATCGAGTATCCAACAAAGCCCTGCAATAATAGTCTTTAATAACTGAAAGAAAACCATACAATGTTTTTATTCAGGTTGAAAACATCCAGCCAGGATATTCCAAAGTGAACTACGTGTTTCTAACTAAGGTCAGTACCAGGAACTTGGAGATGAATGTTTCATTGCCATTGTTTGTCTTGTTTTGAGACTACACTGAGACCAAACCATGCGTTGATGGTTTGACTTTCTTTTCTTTGACAGTGCTACAAAGACCTGGGTCAGAGAGAAAAGGCCAGAAAGATGTGTGAAGCTGCGTGTTCCATGAATGCTGTGTCTAAAGAGGTATACACACTTGAATCATGTATAAAGGGTCCAGGGTTGGTTACTTGTTTTTAAAAAGGCTGGTCTATTACTGTTTTCTGACTTATTCAATACATTTTATTTATTTTGTATTCTTTAGAGATACTCCATAGACATACAGTATATCTTCCTACTGTTTATATGTATATAATATTCATTTAAATTCTTTGTTTTATTATATTTGAACTCATGTGCAATGCTTTGTTAACATGCCGCTGTAACAAAACAATTTGGGTGTTGGATCAATGAACTATTTGTAATATAATCTCAACTTCATCATTATTTTTGAAAGTCTATTTATATCCATCTCACAGTCTGCAAGATAATAAACTGTTTAAGATGTTATTCTTATATTGATCATATTTCTATCCCTCAGGATGAAGATTCCCAGAAGGAGCTGGATGTGCTCCGCCCCGCGCTCGGCATGTGACCACAGCGTGCTCATGCTCCTGGAAATGTGTTTTCCATGTGCTACGTGATGTGTGTGTGAGTGTGTGTGTGGGTGAGTGGGTGTGGATTGAAAGGTCATGATGTTAATTCACTCTGTGAGTGGAGGGGAATCATCAATGGGAACCTTCCTGTAGAGTTTTAAATCCAAGTCTGTGTATACTTTGTAACGCATTATAATGTGCTTATAGTGCGGGGTAATTCGAGTTAAAAACACTCATAAATAATCATTTTGCTTTCAATCATAACACATTATAAAGCATTTTATAATGACTTCATAATATATACTTCATCATTTCAGATCTGGTTAACCCTAACCCTCTGTATTATATGTCCCATAACTTCAGAAGGTCTCATTATAATCACTTTCAAAGTAGTCATTGTTTGCTTTTAGTAAAGAAACATCAATCATTCTATGCAAGGACACAATACTTTAAATTATATTTTACTTGATTAAAACAAACAATGACCACTTAGTCAATTATTATAATACATTAAAACCAAAACACTGATTTGAATAATTTATTGCAACTATGGGAACTTGCTCTATAATGTGTTATGATCATTATAAATATTTACGAGTGCTTGTAGCGATACTTATTTGGAGATTATTCTGCTTTATAAGTGTTTATAAAGCAATATAGACTTCATAGAAAGTGTTACCAAGATTTTGATTCTAATCTTTTATTATTTTTTAATAGTGGAAAAGGAGGAACTCTCACTTGGTTGTACTAAATCAGTGAGACGAAAGCTTTTCCATAGCTCGGATAATCAAGCCGTGTTTTAAAGTACATTTTAATCATTAGCATTGTATCAGAAATGGGTTTAATCACACGTGTAGTGAAGTCTGTGATTGTGGGTGTATATATATATATTCAGTGGATCTGTGTGTACAGCAGCCATAGCTCAAGGATACTAAGTTTCCTTGGCAACAAAGACCTGTTGCTTTTTAGGAAGTGACGAGAGGGACTCGCTGTTCCTTCCTGTTCTGTCTTGTTTTGTTTGTTTGTTGTGTCTCCCACCTCGCATTCAAGAGGCAATAACAAAAGCACCTCAGACAATGGCGCACACCCAAACAAAGATGTTGGAATGCTGTGACCCCTGGACGACCCCCGGACGACCCCCGGATGACCCCTGCCCTCTCCCCTCTGCCGTCACTCACACCAGTGTGACTGCAGGAACACTGCACAGTGATTCTATCCAGCAGTCTGCACAGGGTTATGTTCTTTATTTGTTTACTTTGGCATCTGGTCATGGAATACATGTATTATTCAGATACCACCTGATACTCAGCTCTAATAGAGTGGTGCAGAAATGAGTCCGTGTTTTTGGTTAAATGCCTCAGATGAAAGATTTCGGTCCATGTCTAGATCTTCATTTGGTTTGATTTGGACCAAAACATAACTCTGTCTTGGCCCCAGTTGTCCTGCTTAGGATTGATTTAGTTAACTATCTTCTGCCCTAAAAGGAATGAGTCGCAAAACCCAGGAATTAGTTAGCATTGGACCTGTCTCTAATTCAATGGTCTGTGGTTAACACAAGCTGAAAAGATGTTCACGTTTGGTTCTACGACATCAAATATGTCAGTAAATACCCCACATGTGAATGTCCGAAAGCTTCTGTGTTTCTTCAAAACAGGAGTTGCTAACAAGTGAGAGTACTAAACATCATCACGCTGTGATTTGTTTATAGCTGCTAGCATACAGTGATCTAATTACTTCTGGTGATTGCATTTACACTACAAAAAAAGTGGTGTTAATATGTGGAGAGTATCCTGCTGAACAAAACCTCTTAGTATCATAAACGTGTGTTTGCCACAGACTTTATTTTCGCAAAATACTGAAAGCCAATGGAATAATCCCATTAGCTTTTGGTCGAGGGACCACTTTGCGATGCTAACATCGGGGTCGTCCTACAAAAATACGTCATCACTGCACCGCTCTAATTCAGTCTAACATAACAGCAGTTATTCAATGGACCCAGACGAGATACACTCTAAGACAGTGTTGTTTTAATGTTAAGATCTGGGTCTTTTTACCTCACTGCATACTTTGACCTGGGCCTCTTCTGAATCCTTTGATTTGTTTCTCTGTGTTACAAGAATAATAGACCAATTGCTCTGTATTGAACCTCTAATGAGCATATCAGAGGACATGATGTGAACTGCATTCCAGACGTCATTTGAATGATTTTACACTTGTGATACGTGTGATGCATTTTGATTGAGGTTTACTCTTGAGACTCTAGAACTTAAATTGTGTTACTTGAATTGTGAAAATGACCTAAAATAATTATTTTTGTCTGTCATGTTTTTTTTCTACCAGCGCTACGAATGTAGGCGATTGATTTTCTTCAAATGCCAAAGCAAGTAGACTTATTGGGAGATATAAACACTACATAGAGATTATACTGCAGTGTCTGAATGATTAATGGTTCTGTTCTCTCTAATTAAATCTGTGCAATCCTGATTCGAGGTGTCAGTTTGTCACTCGTTTGTGTGCTCGTTACTTTTATTGCACATCATAAGAAACACCCAGTGGCAAACATTTGGAATTCATGATTCAAATGTTTAGTGATTCCTTGGTCGTGAACTATATTGATCCTAATCCAAAAACAGATTCAACAAGCCAGCTCCTGTATAACTATTAATCATGTGGAGCTCTTCCCTTTCCCCAGACTGTACATTTTGTGCCAGGGCAATTGTGAATCTGTTACTGGATCAGATTTAGGCCACCTGTCTAGTCATGTTTCAGCCTTTCTCCCTCCATGGTCCAACCGTTCTTAACAGCACAGGTGTTTGTTTATACAGTCATCAAATATTTTATAAGCCTACTATTGCACTTCACTTTAAAGCCTCCATTGGAACAGCTGCAGAATTAACTTACGTTTTATATGTTTTCACAGGCATACAGCATGAGTCTGAGATTACATCTAATCTTGTTGTCTGTTCATGCCGTCCTAAAATGCCAATGTTGCATAAGAATTCAGAAGCTGTGGTTTATACATTTTCTTTTCTCGAGGTCCAATCAGCAAGTTCATCATCTACACTTTTCCTGGACCTTTCCTGAATTACTGTCTATTTAAATGGCACTTTTCCAGTTCCTTGTACGGTGGCCGACCGGTGCAAACGCGCTACAACGACCTTAAACATTTACATTTGGAGAAACTCGCTGCAGCTTCAGAAAGGATGCAAACATAAAAACACAAATGTGCCAAAACAAATGCAGAAACATCTTCACCAACTTGACAAAACATGCGCAGGGTTAACTCAAAGAGCTGCATAAACAAAACGCTGCAAAGAAAAAAAAGAGAATTTGGTGGATTCCCCCCTTCGGACAATGTTCAGCAAAGCCCCAGATGTTCCTGTGCTGTGAGGTTCTCCATGTTAGGTATGGTATGTTGTACACCCCCTGATCTGCGGTTAACATCTCGGTAGCAGCCATTTCAAATTACATATATTAAACAATATTTACCATCTGAAATCCTGTTGTGAGGGGTGGATCCCGAGGACTGTCCACACGAGAATAACCAAACTTAAATTCATCATTAGTGATGTCTCCCGATTTTCAATATCTGTTAAGAATTGTTTTTGTGTGTGGGCCAGTGTTAAGTGAATTTGAAAGTCAACCTAGTTAAACTAAGCTAAATGTTTCCAGCCTTTATGCTAAGCTATGCTAAATGTTTGCTGATTGTAGCGTTATTACATTAGGGGGGTATCACTCCTCTAGCTTTCCAACAGCAATTCTACCACAAAAAGAATGCACTGAATCAAATTAGCACAAACTAATTGCTGTGGAGGAAAATCTCAGATCCTT